TAGAAAGGCGCAATGCACAGTCTACTCTCACCGTCGCCCGGCCAGCTTGTCGCAGCACCCATGCTTTGCAGACTTCGAATTCTATACCTAGGTAGACATCTAGCATCATACGCATTTGTCACGTCCATGATCGCAGCCGGGGTGTTCAGGGCTCCCTTGGCCAAGTTGAGACTTGACCCAGTTCCCTCATGGAAGCCCGATTCAAGAGTTATTCCCAAGACTATCTTCCTACCCTCCAGTATTCATCCAGGATGTCCTGTGTGACCTCAAAAGACCAATGATGACAAGTCTGATGCATGACGGGGCTGACCTCCGGAGCATCCTCATCCTCTCCATCGTCCCACACGGTTCTTACCCCTGCACTCATATACTTCTTGAGGAGCATTCTTCTCCATCTACCTGTAGGACCCACACATTTCTTCCATCTGCTGACTTGCCTGTCGTCATCAACGCACCTCCTTCCGTCGAAATAACGACAGTACCACTGGAACCAACCCCTAACATCGAACTGATGATTGATCCAGCCATTGGCCTCCCACTGCTCGATACTCTGTCCACAGGCGACCTTGAATTTGTTCGCTTCGGGATTGTAGGTTGGGGACGTGAGGTAGTAGGACGCATCGAGACCTTCTGCCATGTTGTCGGGGCAGTCGTCCTGAATGGTGATACCCAGCTTCTTGGAGTACAGAGGCCGGAAGTAGGATCCACCAAAGGCGCCTTCTCGCACGACCTCGGCAGGTGATTTGTTTGGTGTGAAATCAGGATGGGAGTCAAAGTGGAAGAAGCCGGCCTCGTCGCGAGTGGGAGGAGGGGCGGATGGGGTCCAGGATGTCCAGGAGGCCTGCAATTCGTCGACGTGCGGGTCAGGATCTACAGAGACATCTTGTAGATTGAATTCTTCGCGTTTGATAGAGGTTCCTGTTGATCGCCTCTGGCCCTGCTTTCGAGACCTCACCATCGAACCCTTGGCCAAATCATTTCCATCTCCATCGTCATGATATTTTGGTTTTGAAGGTGTTGCTGCTATGCGAGCAGAGGTTCTTGATGGTGCAGCTCTGGACTTTTCCACCCGCTGTCTCTTCCCAGCTGAACGACGGGCGTTTCGCGTTGATATTGCTGCTGAGTCTTGAATCACTTGGGCCTGTGCAGCAGCTCCGAGATCTTCCAGAAGTGCCTTGTTGCGCTTGATGTTGTCGAGTCTTCTGGCTGAGAAAGTACCAGCTTCCATAGTTTTTTTTATCTAATTACCTCCAGATGCTGCTCTGAGCTCTAATTGTCGGCCTGGGATTTGAGAAGGTTTGTCGTCACGTTTGTACCACAGTAGACGCGTTAAATTCGCGTCTATAATTAAAACGCTTTTGGGTGATGTCATGAACAAAACCAGGCTTGTTGCCGCCGGCAAGGCGCTTGCGAGGCTGAGACAATACAACCTCTTTTATTCACATTTGTCTTTAATCTCCCATGCCAATTGTCTTCATGTATGTAGTAAATTCTTTACAATACATCAATATAATTACTGTAAAATCGTATCCCCACCCAGGTAGAAATTAGCAGATCAACACCAATCAATGAACCTCCTTTGTCCAAACAGCTCTATGGAAGGCATGATTGTGCTCAGTCATTTTGCTCAATGGGAGGATGTGATATGAGCAAATGTCCACAAAGACTACATATATAAGGCAGTGTTATTTTCCAATTGTTCTTTTTTCAAGCAACAGGACAGTTGAGTTGTGATTTTGTAGGTTGTGTATCATATAAGTCACTGTGTTGTAGAAGCACTTGGGAAACAATGAGGTTCGAAACTGTGGTCAACATGACTGCAAAGTGTTATACACCAGCCATGGGAACTTTTTGCTTTGAACCATGAGAAGTCCAGATCAAGATGGTCGATAGATAGTTATGTGGCTACAGTTGTTGCTATTTTTATCCGTTTGGTGCTTTTATGGGCATCTCAGTGCTGAACCCCTCTGCTCTCCTGGCTTTGCTCACTTTGACATGCTACCATACGCTCTCTGGCTGGATAAAATTCTTGTTATGGCAAAATTAGTCCTCTCATATGCCACACCATCTGTCCAATACCAAGTTTTGTTTCTCCCAATTTTTCCTTTGTAGGTGGGAGCACACATTACACCGTGAAAATCATCACTGAGCCCGGATGCGGGAATGCATGGCCATGCAGGGATGTCTCACTTACAAGACTAGCCTAGACCGGGGAGCATGGCAGCGGATCGGGCCCCTGTCTCAAAGCTTATCTGATTGGACCTCTACGATACGGCGTTGCAGGGCAAGCACATGTCATTGGTGCTAAGGCAGCCTGACGTGCGCGGACTCGGTCTCCAGCGTCCAGCGTCCAGCGTCAAGCGTCAATCGTTCCTCTGACATGCGACCAACAACTGCCCAGTGCGCCCACCGGCGTCGACCCTTTTAGTATTGCTAGCTGGAGCCTTACCTGCTGGGCAAGGTAGCACCCATCTTCATCCTTTCATCAACATACTGCACCACCCAAGATGTGATCATAACTGCTGGATAGCTCCCCGAATCCCCAGCTTTTTGCCGACCACACCACCGAACCACGCATCAGTCTCCAGCATCTGAGGTTGCTGCGTCTCGCGAGTATCCACGATGGCTACTCCTCCGAACCCGAACACAGCCTCGTTCCATGAGCACCATATCACCCATGGTTTCCCCCAGCACGATGGGGGCGAGTCCGATGATGGTGAACTCGTCGATCCCGACTCCGTCCCCGTCGAGGTCCTCGTCGAGCATCTCCTCGCCGCCAAGCGTGCCCTCTCCTCAGTGAACCTCGTACAACGCGCAGACGATCTGTCGACGCACGCCCGTCAACTCCACGAGGAATCAGTCATCCTAGGCGCCCAGACTGCTTTTCTCAAACGGGGCATTGCTGATCAGCTCAAACTGCTCTCGCGTGTCCATCGAAATATGATACATACGTACGATGCTTCCAAGAGGGAGTTCAAGCAGCTCACGCCCACCATGGATGCTGTTCACGACAAGCTGCAGAAAACCATGGACATGCTCCGGGAGATTCCTGTCGACCCGTTGTTCAGACCTGAAGGAGAGGAACCCAAGTATTTGTTCGATTTCGTGAGCGAAGACCAAGTCCATCTCATGCTCGCTGATCTGAAGGAGGGCATCGACCAATTACAGGTGAGCCAACAAAGGCTTTCGTGCTTGCCATATTATACGTGACGCTGACCAGAATGACTCTCTCAGGCCAATCAGACCAGTTTCTCAACAGACCTTTTCCACTTCGACGATAACATGCGGAGTCTGAGCAATGCTCTGTCTTCCGTCTCTACACCGTCCCAGAAGTCCCCAACCGACTCCAACCAGCAAGGCCAACCATCCATTCTCGAGCTCTTCATGGCAATGACGGATCAGTCACACTACATGGCGACCAATCTGACCAAACTTACACGTCATTTTGATATATGCGTCGAGGCTGTCCGCATCACCGAAGGCGGTGCGGCCCTGGCCCGACGAAAGGACGCCGAAGATTTGGGCGAAACCAACCCCGTTTCCATCTCTGGTGTCATGCGAGCGCAGGACGGTGACCCTGACGAGCCCACAACTTGGACAAGAGCCGAGGTCGTCACCACCGTCATCCGTGATGCGCGCCATGTGGACAGCGTTGTTGAAGACCTGAGCACAGTTTTGCAAGGGGTGGAGGAAAATTTCAACCTCCTTGCGGACCAGTCGGACCAGGTGAAGGCGGCCTATGCGGCTGTCGTTCAGGCTTTCCGCATCTTGGAGGCGATTGGTTCGCGCTTGGACTCATACATTGAGGCAGCGAGCGCATTTGTGGAACGCTGGAACAATGAGAAAGAGTCCATTTTTGCCACACTGAGTGACATGGAGCGCCTCCGAGACCACTGGGAGGGCTATGCGAGTGGCTATGACAGCCTCATCCTCGAAGTGGAGAGGAGGAGAGCTGTAGAGGAAAAGATTCAGAACATCTGGCGCAAGGCCAAAGAGCAAGTCGACAGGCTCGTGGAATCAGACTGGAAAGACCGGGAGACATTCACCACAGAAGTTGGCGGCTTCATTCCTGGCGACCTCTGGGTCGGCATGAGTGGGCCTCTACAGAAATGGGAAGTTGTTCGCGCCCAACCAGAAGAGGCATCTGCGTCGGCTTCTGGCAAAGGGGGCTCTGGAGAGATGCCCAAGCAAGATCATGGTAGCGCGGCCACTTTAGACCGCGACGTTGTGGACGGAGCTATGGAGAGAATTGGCATGGCTTCCAGCAATAAGAGGTAGTGAATGCTGTTCATTAGGGCTTTGTATATGCCTCGAAACTTGTTCTTTTTTTGTTTCTGATCTGGAGTTTCGGACCCCAAGGGAATACCTCGCATTGGGCGGACTACGCACTCTTTGGGATGGGCTAGGGGTAGATGGGCTTTGGCGTTTCTGGACTTTGACTGACCACCTAGAACAGGTGGTCAATTGCAGACTCTTCACTCACTGACATCTCAGGCAGAATTCGATTTCACCGCAACACTAATACTATGACCTCACATGAAAGACTCGGTGGCCACAGACATCCAGTGACAGGGCTCAGACGGTTGAGCAAAGCGAGGTGTGCATCAATAGCGTCGATGCAGGAAGGGCTTGCCGTGTCCAGAACGGTGATGCTGTGCTGCTCCCGGGGCTTGCACACACGATAGGGCAAAGCTTGTGTTTCCTTGGATCGATTATCACCGCACTTGTGCTACAACGATCCGCAAGACCAGCTTCAGATAATTAATTGATCTTTCAACGAAGTTCTATAGGTTCGATCCACCAACGCTCAGTGTTCAAGTGGGCCTTGTTCGCATCTTCGCGTCTTCCGATATGCCGAGTCAGCGGGTGGAGCGAGGCTTGCCAGTCATCGACTCAGTTTTCCGCACAGTCTTCCACTTTGACGGTAAAACTCTGCTTTCTAGTACATAACGCCCTCGAATTCGGCCAATTCCAACAATCGGTCCAATGCCTCTCAAGGCGTTCTGGTGGTCTAGGGGTATGATTCATCCTTAGGGAGATACACAGTCATCTGTGAGCTCCAGATGGATGAGGTCCCGCGTTCGAATCGCGGCCAGAACCCAGCGTGAGCCTGTTCGAATCCGGTTCAGGACCTTTTTTGCAGTCTGTCTGTCCCTTGGGTTGTACTTTTGCGTTGGACGCTGGACGGGGAGGTTGCGCCTTGAGCGAAGAGCCGTTCCCGGCTAAGTATTCCATCTGAGAACACTGGAAGGCATGAGGAGTCTGAGGGACAGGTTGAGATCCGTAGGTAGCATGAACTTCGACGGCTGGTTCAGCAAGACGATGGGCTTAATTTGGCTACTCACTTGTAAAATTTCATTAAGTATACATGCTCCTACGGCTACAACTCATCTTTCACATGCTCCTGTGGTCGAAAATCCCAGCTCCAATGCTTCTCGGGATCCTTGACCAGCTCCTTCATGTTTTCCACGAAGGGACGGTCAAAGCCGGCCATCATCTGCCCCCGTAGGATGCTCAACATTGCATACCTGGCAGCCTTTGCTGAGGCTCCCACCCCATTATACTCGATGGCAGCACGGTAGTACGCTTCATGGATTCGCGTCTTGAGTCCCTCCTCCTCGTAGAGGCTGACAAGTTCCTCAGCCATGTCAGGGGTGGCAGTCGAAGCTGATGTGTAATCATCCAACTCCGTCCAGAGACTATGAATCCGTTCCATTCTCTCATCAGACTTTTTGACATCGTCCTCTTCGCCAGTGCAATGCTTGCAGGTACATGTGAAGCCCCACATTGTTTGTAAGTGAGCTTGACGTGTGTCGCGAGTTTGGATGGGACTGAGATCTTCGGTCAGTATCTGTATTGCCTAGCTGAGGTATATTGCGCTAGCAACGAAGAGCATGGTTTTCGCAAGTGTCTTTGGAATTGTTTGGCTTGACCTACTCAGTATACGCAACCGTCAACTCCTCACCAGCAGGAATATCCCGAGCAGCATACACCTTCTGCGTGAGAGTCGATGAGTCAAATTGGTAGCCGCAATTCGGACGACAGTCATGGTTCAATCGGGACACTGTCAGATAGCTCGTTAGTACGAGAATAACCCTAGACAATGCAGTAGATAGATTAGCCATTGAAAAATCAAAAGAACATACCATCTATGAAGGTTGCATGAAAATCTGTTGTGTTTGCGATTCTTGTTCGGTAATTGTTCTTGGCGAAGACCTGATAAATTCGTTCATCGTGGCTTTGAACCTCATCGTGTGTAGTAAGCTTCAAGTACTCTGCCCGATGTTGTTCTGGTAGATCCTCTACGGCCTGTACAAGGAGTTGTGTGAGAGAACCTTCCCCTAACTCCGTAAAGCCCTCATCATCTATCATCACAGCCGGCGTCCGGGCCAACACAAGTTCGCCCGCTGCAATGCGACGGGTCGCCACAAGCCCTATGCCTTTCCCAGGAATCTCTTCTTCATGGTAAGAGGGATCGGCGTTCCTCCAAGGCTTTTTGGTTTCGATTTTTGTAAAGGCAGGTAAAGACGATATTTCGTCCAAACGCTTGTGTGTCGTGATCATAGATACACCAAATCCTTCGTTGAAGGAGGCTTTTGTATAACTGCAGAATTGGGTCGACCCAAGGTCTTGGCAGGCATCGCCCCCTTTCCACCCATTATGAGATAGTAGATTAAGCTCCTGATTTGTTGAAAATGATCTTCGAGAGGGACATGTAGCTGATGAAAACAGCAAGTCTCTGAGGCTCGGCGCATCGCATACTGACTGGGCCATGGACTCACCCCAACTGGGAGTCGTCAGTAGACATAGCCACAACAGCCAGTTTTTGTGTTGGCGCATTTTTTCTGCTTTGTTCACAACTTTTCAAACTGCCATTTGAAAATTTACAAGTTGTTGATGATTCGAGGCGTGTTTTGTTACTTGCCAACTTGCGCCTATTCTCGAAACCAGGGCCTAACACGCTCTAGGAGTGATCAAGTGTTTCAAGATTTCCAGGTCCCGGAATTTAAATTCACCGAGTCGAGGCCTCAGATTCAGACGAACGCCCAACACCTGAGACGACATTGGTAGTATGTTTCATTGAGGACAAGACCCTGGAAGCGACCTGTAGGGCCCGAGTTGTCGGCCACCGCCCCCCCCCTCGGGTGATGGGCCTCAGGTATCAAGGCGGAAAAAGCTACACACTCGCAGTGGCTTCGAGAGGACCATCACATTTGAAGCATTCGATCGAAATCCCGGAGCCGAAGCTTGTTAATCGTCCGTTCCATGGAATATGTCGCTGAAAAATCCGATCGAAAACCCAATAGCATCTTCACAAGACTGAGCAGAGCTAGAACGGCTGCACTGAAGACCACCAGGCAGCACAATGTCGTCGTCTGAGACTTGCCAGCGTAATGAAGAATCAGCAGGCAACAAGATAAAGGCACGAAATCAGCTCGCTTCACTTTCAAGGCAATTTTTGGCCTCGGTGTCTTAGTTTCCTACGCTGCGAAACCCGCCGAGCTGGGCAATCACACTTGATATACATGCTGTCTACCTAAGTAGACACTGCAGCTCAGTTTTTTACGGGCCGGTCCAAAGAACCTCCTTGCCGCAGACTCGGATCGCCTATGTCGAAAGTCGACTGCAAAATATTGCTATGAGAGGAGCGGTTGTACATAGCTGACACCACTTGACCTACCTGGGCAAATCATGACATGACAGGAAATATGTTCTTCATTGATATTTTACTAGATAGTTTGCTTGGCTTCATCTCTCTCTTTCTCTCTGTGTGTGTTTCAGCTAGTTTCTTCGCAATAGGCTCTAGAAGATTGAGAAATTGAAGCTAGATGAGAACAGCCATGACAGGATGAATATTGATGAGTTGCAGCGCTCTTCTCTCACGGTCGTTGCATATCTATCTATCTATCTACCTACCTATGTAAGAAGATAGAGAATAAAGGAGGGTTGGGGTATGCAGGAGCCAGATGATTATTAGCCTGTTGTCAGATCTCTCCGACGGAGCAAACTGAGCATGTCAATTGCTCCGACCCCGTTCCGACTCCCTGACGACCGACACAATCGCCCACAGTAAGTTGAAAAAACGGGACGTGGTGACTTTCTGAAAGATTTGTGCTGACCACGGCTGTAGTCTGATCGGCTCTGGTGAACATGCTGTAAGGTTTAACAAAATTACAACTCAAGTATAAGCTCTACAAGACTATGAATCACGAACTTCTGGCAAAATCCAGCAGGGGACCGAAAGCATGCACGACTTGTGCCAAGGTAAGGCATTATAAATCCCTTTTGGTGCTACCATTGCAGTATGATTGACTGAGGAAGCAGGCAAAATCACGTTGCTATCCGGGCCCGACGGAGAGAATCTGCGAGAGGTGAGCTCCGACGCCTGCAGGCCTTTTGCACGGAGAAGGCATCGTAGAGGGCTCCCTACTCACCAACCCAAGCCTATGCCCAGCTGTCTTGACGGAAACCGGTCTTTTACTAACTGTCATACGAGATGCCACCGCCTGAACAAACCATGTTCAGCACAAACGCCAGCCCTTCCTCGGAAGAGGAAAGCGCCCAAGCCTAGACGGGTCGCAGATCTTGAGAAGCGGCTGGAGGAGCTGACGGCTGTTGTTAGAAAACGGATTCCACAGCCATCGGAGCCAGCCGATGATGGCGGCAATGTCGTCGAGACTGAGGGACCTGCGCCTCAGACACGCAGGTTCTCATTCCCGGACTTCAGACCTGCTCGTCGAGGGCCGGGATTCTCGCACATATTTGCATCCGATAATGCGGAGTACCATGATTCATACACGGAGCAATATTTGAGACACCAGCAGCAGAAAACTCTTCATGATCGTACCAAAAACATGACGAAGGAGCCATGCGCATCGCAGTGGACCGCTGCTGGCAATATGGAGGGTAACAATCGTAGGGTTTCTCGTGGCCCCACGGAACAACCACAGCGTTCTCCAATGATGGCCACTTCGACTTCGTCATCTTCATTTAGTCCATCAAAATCAGGCAGGTCTGTTGAGTTGCCACAACAGAGAATGCTCGATTACCAAAGGTCCAGAGGTGCGACCTGGCATCAGTCACCTTTGCTTGATAGCGCCTCATCGGATCTTGGGACCTCTGAAGCTGGAGACCCGTGGTACTATCCCTCTTGCGATGAAGCGCACCAGTTTCTCTATGGCTTCAAGAGTCATTCAATGGCCTTGTTCCCCTTCGTCGTAGTCCCAGCAGACATAACCTCCGAAGAGCTACGCCGAGACAAGCCCCTGCTGTGGCAGGCCATCATGATGCAAGGCCTGCAATTAGACGCCAGACGCCAGGTATCTATGGGTGAAGAATTACTTGGGTCTATCGTAGCAACAGCCTTCATTCAAGCTCAGAAAAGTTTAGACTTGCTACAGGCGCTGGAAATACTTGTTTCTTGGTTAGTATTACCCGCGCCCGGAATGCCATCGTCTAGGTTTTTGATCTTACAGCTGACAGCCCACTCTGACAGGTTTCACGTGAGCCCACAGAGTGTTCAATTGACCAACCTTTTATACCTAATGCGATCAGTCTGCGTGTCTCTGGGTTTCAACGAGTCGCAAGAGTTTTCGAAGCAGCAGGACCATACCGTGGCCAATCTCGAACAGATACGGGCTTTCACTGGAGTCTATTACTTGGTGGTGAGCTCTGTCCTTAGCGATCCTGCATCTTTCCAATCATCCAGGAGACTTGCACTTCCTTCGTACGAACGTTCAATATGTGACGTGCCAAGAAATAGTACTACCAAACATTGTCAGATTGCTTCCAGCAGTCACCTGCGAAGCTGACTTAAGACCACCTGCTCTGAGGTTCATTGACTGATATCTATCTTAGACGATGGTATTCGCCACTAATAAGAAGCCGGATGCCTTTATGCATGACACGTATCTCGACCATTGTTGCCGCATTCTAGAAGAAAGGATGGAATATCCGACGGATCAGCGTGTGGTGCTTCTCGTCCGCACCCAGCAGCTTTCCCAGTCAATCTCAATGACTCTCGCCTTCCGTGATACCAAAACCAGTCTTCCTCTATCTCTAATTGTTCGAAGTTTCAAACACGAGATTTGCAAATTGAA